TAAAGATGTGCTAAATCACTTCAGTAATATTTTTCCATACCAAAATGGAAGTTGTTTGAGACATATTTTCTGGGAAGCAATTGCTTTTGTCTTCAAAATAGCATCCAGCAGCACCCTATTTATACTGTAAACTTCCAAAGAGGCCAAGAAAACATGGCCAATTGCATGGTAGTATAGCAAATCCATTCTGAGACATCACTAATATGATCAGCATTGCAGTGAGTGCTATTTTTGTTTCTCATTTGTCTAGGGGAGAATATGGGATTCATGAATATACAGAAGTTAAGACTGTCACAATCAAAATTCCACAGAAGAACTCATAGTGTTGCTTCTTCAAACTGAGCTTCTTCAAATCTGCAAAGGTTAATTGTGTTGTGAAAAATTTTCCATCCCAAATTATTCATCAACTTGTAAACAAGGAACTTGCTTACATTAATTGAGAATAATGTAGAAACTTTAAATGTAATTAACTCAGAAAGGAAAATTTTAATGCCTGGAACATAGCTAACAAATTTTGCATTTTTTATTGAAAAAGTACTATTTTTGCCAATGGGAGATATCTGTAGTGCTATCAAAATGTACTCTTTTTCCAATACTATGGCTTATGCAGTTTGATTTATTGTACTATTCTAAGTGTTAGATGGCAAGCTGGCTTTACATTTTCCATCATGACCTTTGCAACAGCACTTACAGAATTACTACTATCCAATAGATTTTCTTCTCTGTCTCTTTGGAAAAATCATGGATTTGTTCTGGGTACATTTCTTAAAGAGTTGAATTTGTCGTCATGTTGTGTGCCACACACATAAATCTGGATGGAAACCTTATTAAAAATCTACCTTCAAATCTAATATTGTTTCTTTTCCTGACATTTTAAATGACATTCATTTTCACTGGACACTGTATAATACACTTTGTGTACTGCAGAATAAACTCTCAATTAAATATGCTTAACTCATTAAAATATACTAAGCTGGTTCTAGGAAAGCTAGACTGCCTAATTCTTTGATAATGTTATTTATGGAAGAAAACCTAAAACTTACAAGGAGGGGGGAGAAAAATGATCCTCCTTGACCTCTGGATGATAGGACTAGACACAATGGGCTTAAACTGTAGCAAGGGAGGTTTTGGTTGGACATTAGGAAAAACTTCCTAACTGTCATGGTGGTAAAACACTGGAATTAATTGCCAAGAGAGGTTGTGGAATCTCCATCACTGGAGATATTTAAGAGCAGGTTAGATAGACATCTATCAGGGATGATCTAAATGGCACTTGGTCCTGCCAGGAAGGCAGGGGACTGAACTTGATGACCTCTCAAGGTCCTTCCTGTTCTAGTATTCTATGATTCTATGATAACTGTAACAAATACGTAGGGATGCAGAGACCAGGCTGACCCAAATGTAGCACTCAGATTATGTCTGTACTTAGAGCTAGAGGTGAAAATTGCAACTTGAGATAACATTCACACTAGGTCTAATTGACATGCCATGTTAAAGATAGAGTGTTGGAAGCATGAGAGGGGCTAACTGCCCCAACTAAGGGCTGCCTGGATGAATATGATGTAAATCCTAAGACAGACAAGATGTAGAAGTAGGATTGTACACCTGCAATCTCTCTCTCAGTCCTCTTTCTCCTTTCCACTTTGTGTACACACACACACACACACACACCTCAATGTTTTTCTTCAACTGTTCTCTTTAACCTCATCTCTCCATTATTTTCCCCCACCTCTTCCCCCGAACCATCTTCATTTCCTTCTCTCAGCCTCTCTCTTCCCTATTTTTACCTACCCCAGTAGGACTCCTTGTACTCTCTTGTGGAGGCACAGTCTCTTGATATTTTCATACAGAACCTCTGCCCTCACCTTCCCATTGCAGGCTGCCTACAACAACACCAGCAGTCACTATCTACTTCTGGGGTTTCACTGTGAGTCATAGAGAATGTTGCAACAGCACTGAGGTGCTTAGACCCTGCAGAAATCAAGACCCAGGACAGTTGTACCGGATCTCCCTTTCCCTTAACAGCCATACAAATACACTCTACCCAATAGCCAGGAGATGGTACATTAGTAATTAGTCAACAGAAAATATGAACAATACAGAGCTGTTGCACAGTACAAAATGGCAGAGGGTTTTGCTTATTATGGGTATATCTACACTGTAGTGCCAGGGTCTGAACTCAGACTCAGGTGTAACTCCTCTTCTGTCTACATACGTAGTACATTAAGGGCATGTCTACACTAGGAAATTATTTCAAAATAATAACTCCCAAAATGACTATTTTGGAATAGCACATCCACTCTACAAGGAAGCCTTGAAATTAGTCCAAGGCAGGCTCTGTTAATATGGATGTGCTACCTCGACTTGGAGACTCAGGAAGCACTGGGGAGTAATTACTTTAAATGACTCTGCGGAGTAGTTATTTCAAAATAGCAGCCGTGGAGCATCCACACTACCGCTATTTTGAAATAACTGTTTCAAAATAAGCATTATTCCTTGTGGAAAGCAGGGGCAATTCTGAAATAACCAGCCCCTTATTTTGAAATAACAGGCTTGGTAGTGTGGATGTTCCACTTGTTATTTCAAAATAAGGGAAGTTATTTCGAAATAACTCCTTAGTGTAGATCAGGGCTAAGATAGGGCTTAGGGCACTGGGACTCCACTGAGGTGAATGGTACAAGCTTGAGTCAAGCCTAGACCCAGGGTTCAAGCTCTATTCCTTTGCAGTGTAAACTCAGCTCCAATGGACTCTTGTTCTGGGAGTCCACCAAAAGTTCCCCAAAGCCAACTTTCTTTGTCCCTCAGCTCTGAAGTTTGGGGAACTGTCAAGTTTTCCCATACTGCACCTCAAATACAGGGTTAGAGAAGCCATAATGTGCGAGGGCACTAGGACATCTGACATATGGATGGTTGGATGGGACTGCATAATACAGTGTAAATTTTGGAGCACTAGGTTGGGACCAAGTATCACCAATTCCTATCCTGGATTTACAAATGAGTATAGGCATTCAAACCTTAGATTATAGACTCCAGAGTCTCCTAACTTGACTTCTATTAACTTATATTTCAGTGTACCATAAGACACTATCCTGTGATAAATGTGTTAGCTATTAATAGGCCCGAACCAAAACCCAGATCAGAGCTTTATATTTGGCCCCCTCTTCAGATACAAATAAACTCCCCTGGATTTGGGAGGCAGTAAGATCAGGATCCAGTCTTGGTATCCAGACCCATCTCTACACAGGATTCTATATTATCCTTTTTTGAAAGGTGATACCCCCAAATCGACTCGCTCACACTCTGGAACAATCACCCACATTTAGAGAATAAGTAAGATCCATAGTCTAACTCCCATCACCAGAAGACAGAGGTAGCAGGAGAAATTGAGCAGAGAGAAAAAGTAAAGAAGGGGAACAAAGAAGTGGCAGAAATGCAAGGCGACAACTGTGGAGAGAGTTGAAAGAGAAAGAAAAAGAAAGAGAAAGAGAAAGAGAGAAAGGAAAGGAGAAAGAGAAAGAGAGAAAGGAAAGGAGAAATGTAGTAAAGCATTTAAAGATGAAAAATGTAGAAAAATAGCCTTAATGGAACCATGGATACTAAAAAAAAATTCAAGACTCGGCAAGATTCAAAAGGCAAAGTGTAGTCTAGAAGTAGAAGAATAAGTCAGATCCACAGTCCATGACTAGATCCTGCTAAAGTCAGTGGGAGAAGTTTCATTGGCGTGGAAGTAAACCAGCAGTGACCACCTTTTGGAAATTTCACATTAAGAAGAAGAAAAGAAAAGTAGGCATAAAAAGAGGGAACCATCAGGAGTTGGAGCGGGGGACGGGGACTGAATTCTGCCTACGGATACATGCATGAATTTCTCCTGGCCTTCAGATTGTTAAAATGTTGTAGTTCTATGCAGTACTTTGACTCTGGTTTAACTGTAGTTTAGCAGTTTCTAGCACAAAAGAAACCTAAACATGTTCCCAATTTTGTAGATGGAGAATGATGTCACTTTCCCTCTTTAAATGACTAACTCATTTGAAAATTTGACACACAGCTGCCTTGTATCTTACACTGGATTCCAGCTCCTTTCTTTACAAACAGCTTGGGTCAGGTGAGTATGTGTGTGTTTGTAAAGGCAAACTGTGCCATTCAGCCAGGAAGGAACGTACAATATTTTCCAGCAATGCCATGTCTAACATTGGGTTAATCTGATGCCATGCTGAAGTTGTTCTCAAGGACTGACAATGTAAAGCGATACACCTTTTAGCAATTAAATAAGGCTAAAAGACTAAACATATTTGTATTTGTCCAAAGTATTTGAGATAAGTCTGAATGAGGCAAACCAAGGTACTGTAACCCAGGTAACATAAGCAGGTTAATCAGATCTCATTGTCTGACAAAAACACTCAACTCAGGAGAGTTTCATAATATCTGGAGGGTCTTAGTCAGAAAGGACCATGTCTGGCCCCAACATGCAGCTTGAATAACTCAGGTAAGTATTGAAGGGGTTCTCTCCAGAGTACAGAGCAGAAGCAGAACCATTTTATGAGCATCATTACAACTTTCATAGCTCTTGTACCCACACTGCAGGAAGAGAGGTTTAAACTGAAGGATGTGCAGAGCAATAGATCCTGTAACCACAGCCCACCCTGCCTCTAAAGAGCTCCTAACTATAGTCACCCTAGAAATCCTGATTGAGGATTCACTTCATAAGTACATAGGGGACACATCCCCTGAGTTGACTCCTGGTATCCTGTCCCTTGCCACCATGCAGCATAACTTCAGTGGTTACAACAGGTCTAAGGCTGTCCTTGGGACCTTGGAAGATGTGGACTGGGGGCTTTTGGGGGTTACATATATTTTCAATGACATTTTCAAAGGGTCTCCGTAAATATGCCTTGATGTTATAAACTCCAGCCATCCAAAAGTACAACCTTTGGCACCTTCAGTGGGTTTAGTGACTTGTTCTTACTTTGCTTTTGCATGCATAAATGAAGGGCTATACTTACAAGTATTGCAGGAGCAATCAGAGACCTTTCTTTCTGCACCTCATTCACTACTGTGTTAGTCCTGGGTTTCTTTCACCAGTGCAACTCCTCTGAAGACAACAAGAGAAAGGCAATAGCTGATCAGGCCCTTTCACTGGCAACTGTTAATTAGCATGTTTGTGAAATTGTGTCCACCATTTTAGAGTAAGGTTCACAAGAGGTGATCTCACTGCCTGATTTCAAGGCTGAAAATTGTTTGTCCCTGGGCTGCCTGCCAAATTATTTTATATGTTAGTTTTAAATAATAAAAAGGCACTCATTCAACTATTTCACAACAGCTAGTCTCTAACAGTAGACCAGGCATACCCCTTTGTGGCAGAAATGGCTGCCTAGCTGAGCTAATTAAAAGAGGAAGGGCTACCTGGAAGGCAATAAAGACCTCTCTCGGAGGACAGAAAAGGGAGGGGTAAGTGGAACAGGCTGTGTTTGGAGAGGAGAAACCACAGAAGTGGAGTCAACACCTGTAGCAATTCCCTGTAGTTAAGGGAGGTAGCACAGCTACCTGCCACTGGGAAGCTGTAAGACTCACAATAGAATCACCAGAGATCCTGGGTGGGGTGGATGTGAAGCCTTCAGACAAAGGATATTTTAAAGGAATATTTTTATTTGCTTATGTTTAGACAAGAAACACTGCTAAAGGAGACTGAGCATGGCAGTGCCATGTCACACCAACAATAATACAACACAACTGTAGAAACACTCAAGTAATCACACAAACAGGAACCTAGCCAACTACCTTTTCAGCCCCTCTTTCAGTATAAGAAACATTCCCTCAGTTGTCTTTTGAAGCATGCCTGGGGCATCCTTAAGTTAAACAATTTCAGACTTAAGAGACAAACAAATTTCAGAGTCGCTGTAGCCTTCCCACAAGGCACCTTGCCCCCTCTTTTTTATAATGAGATGGATCTAGCTCTGCAGCTGTGGTGGGATGGCATGGCAAGAGAGGCAGGCCAATTAGGACCAAATAAATGTAGCTCTTAGCGTTCCCTGATTATCTAGCTCCTAAGATGGTTCAGAGGTTCAGATCCTAAGAGATAAGTCAAGATAGATATATTTAAAAAAAATCTCAAGACAGTGAAGCTTCAGAGGTTACTGGTGTGGCTAAATAATAATAATAATTCCCTGAAGAAGCAGGGCTTATGGAGAGCTTTAAAGCAGAAGAACATGGCAGTCAGAAAGGAGGTGGGGGAAGAGAACACTGATCCAGGTGTGTAGAGTTACACAAAAGCCATGTGGAAGAAAAAGAGGGTGAGAGATATTGCAGGAATGTAAGAAGCAAGATCAGGAAATGAGAATAGAGCTAAGGATCAGGGTGAGATTATAGAGGGCTTTCCAGGGAAGGATGAGGAGCTTAAATTTAATGCTAGAAAAGATGAAGCCACTAAATATGCTTCACAGCAGAAGCCAGTGGCCATTCTGGGAAAGGTTCCTCCTGAAAATTTCATCTATTTAACATCTGCATGACTGTTGCAGTGTCCCCCTCACCTCCCTTTTCATTCAAGGCATGCTCCAGTCTTGGCTTGAAGGCAGCCTAATACCCTTTTACTAAAATATGACATTTAAATAATTCCTTTTAAGGAAAAGCTCACTTTGAAATTACTGTTGGAGTGAAAGCAGGCCCTCTGAAAATTGGGAATGATAGTTTCTTGGGAGCTTTGTGGGAGGCTCTAAAGAAAGTTCTCAGAGGCTAAGTTATACCCTTTGGCAGGCAGAGAAAGAAACATTGCCTTGATGAATAAATTGCTCTGGAAACAAAAAATGAAAGAGCTAGAAACTCAACATAAACTGATTCAGTCAAAGTGTTACATAGTCTTGTAGGAAAGACTCACTTGGTATATGAAATACTGAACAGGCATACAGGTCCAATAAACAGATCTGGGAATAAGATGGGTTGAATGTTGATATTACAGCTAATGAAACAGTCCTAGAAAACTAAAGATACCATGTAGCTGCTTTGGCACTTTACTACCAGACATCAGCAAACAGGGAGATTTATGGGATATGTTAGCTAAAATACAACAGGAGTTCTGAGGAAACACACAGATAAAGTAGCAAAAATTTCCAAATACAAAGCTTTGGAAACAAGCAAGCTAGGGGAGACAAACCCTTTGGATTGTTAGTGTGAAGACGACTTAGGTGAGACTATCAGAAATGTGCTTGAATATGCTGAGGGCTCTCTTTCATGTTTCATCAGAAACAGACATTACTTGCAGACAGATCAGGCAAACAGTCTTCATTGTGATATTACTCTAGAAGAGTAAATATTAGAATTTATGTTCCTCACACTGCACCAGCCTTTGCTCAATATAGACTATTATTATAGCACACTACTTGACAGTTATGACTGAATGCTTGGTGCACCCTGATTAACAAAGAGATCCAGCCATGCAGAATGATCTAGTGATTTTTTAAATAAGCATTGTCTATTTTTAGAACAAATAATTGAAACTGGGCACCACCATCCCCTTATCCT